GGCGCTTGTCGGCCTTGGGGTCCCCAGGCGGGGCGTGCGTGAAGGACTGGGAGCGCTTCTTGCGAGGCGTGTCCTCGTCGAAAAACTCGATGACGAAGGCCTGCTGGTTGTGAAGCAGCTCCTGGGGGTCCCGCTTGATCTGCCGCTGCAGACGCACCTGCTCCCCGTTCTCCACAGGGGCCCCGGCCGCGGCCGCCTTGGCCATGGGGTCCTCCGAGTCGCTCTGCGTGCCGTCCTCGTGTTTGTGGCCTGGGGGCAGGGATCCCGACGCGTCAGGCTGAGGGGGGCCGACACACCCAACCACAGCTGCCACACGTGGTGGGGGACACAGCGCCCCACTCCACGCAACGTGGAGCCCGGCACACACGACCCAGGTGAGCACCAGGAACATGCTGGTCACCCCCAATGGGGCAGGCGGGTCTCGGGCAATTCATTGAAAAACTGAAATTGGTCAAGCTGATTAGGGTCCCCAACCGGGAGGGGGTCGTTGAGCCACCCGGCGGGGCACTCACCCTTCAGGGTGCGGGTGTGGACGGGCAGGTCGCTCTTGGCGCTGTGCCGGTCGTCTCCGGGGCCCGCCTGGCGCAGCAGGCTCGGGTCATTCTGCACCAGCCAGTCGGCCACCTTGGTCTCCGCGGAGACCACCTCGACGGGTGTGGCTTTGCCCGGGGGCCGCCGCTGGCGCAGGGAAAACTTGGTGACGTGGTCCTTGATCTTCACCTTGCCCGGGCTGCAGTCGTCAAACTCGATGGTAAAGGAGGCGTGGCTCTGCACCACGGGCGCCGCCCCTCCCGGCTCCACGTCCTTGGTGGGCGCCTCGTGGGCCGGCACCTCGGGGGGCCGCGGGGGCTGCAGGGCCTCCTTCGTGGGAATCTCGAAGTAGCTGGGCTCCCGGCGGAATGAGTAGCCCTGAGGCTCTGTGGGCGCCCGGAAGCCGGCCGTGGTCCCAGCGAGGTCGCCATCCTGCTGCGCCAGCTCCTTGGGCCGCTCTGGGCGGGGGGGGGACACACGTCCTCAGGTAGGACTGAGGGCGGCACCCTCACCCACCCACCGTCCTGGGACCGTCAGCTCCCTCTCCTCAGAGCAGGCCGCTCGGGTGAGGCTGCACTCCGAAGTTCTGGGGCTCCCACGGGCCCGGCCTGGGGACCTACCTGGGTACGGCCCCTCCTGCTGCCGGTCCTCGGGCGCAGAGCTGTCATCCTCCCCCCACCAGGAGGGCTGCCCATACAGGGGGGTGCGGTAGGCCGCCGCTTCTGCGGAGGGAGCGTCGGACTCTGGGTCACGGTGGCCCCAACACAGACGGGGGGATTGGGGTGTGGAAGGAGCCCTGGCATCACCTCCCAGCTCAGGCCTGCAGCTGCCCAGGACCCCGGCCAGCTGCCAATAGTTCTGTTTCCATGTTGATGACAGTGACAACTCGCTGCCCAAAGTCTATGCCATTTACCTCCCCCGGCCCCATCGGGGCCTGCCTGCCAGGTGGGTGTTGTGGGGGAGGCTGGTCCCTAGGGAAGCACTGTTCTCAGCACCCACCTGGGGCAAACAATCTCTTTAGCCCTGCCCTAGGGCCTCTGCCTCCAGAGCCGGCCCCACAGCGAGCCCACCTCTCACCAGGCTCTGCGAGTGGTTTAGGCCACAGATGGGTGACCCTGGAGGCTGCGTGCCACCACAGTCTGACTGGGCCACACCAGGTGCAGGGGGGCGGGGTCCACAGGTCTGTGTCTGCAGGATGCAGGAATGTGGGCGCACACAAGTGTGTGTGTCTACAGACTGCATGGGCTGGGCGTGCACAGGAGGGTGCATGTATATGGGTGCAGGAACGCGGACACACTGGGTGGATGTGTCTGCAGGGGTGCAGGGGTGCGTGTGTCTGCAGGGGTGCAGGGGTGCGTGGGTGGGAGTGTCTGCAGGGGTACAGGGGTGCAGGGGTGCGTGTGTCTGCAGGGGTACAGGGGTGCAGGGGTGCGTGTCTGCAGGGGTACAGGGGTGCAGGGGTGCGTGTGTCTGCAGGGGTGCAGGGGTGCGTGGGTGGGAGTGTCCACAGAGAGTGGAGACAGTGCCCATGGGCACCTGAGCTCATATGTGAGCAAGTTGTACTGTGACTGCT